CAACAACGAAAACAAAGAAGTAATAAAAACTAGCATCGTATATAGTGACAAAGAAGAATATGATGCTATCGATGAAGGAAAGGAGACCAAAGAAGATGACTAGCCAATTAAGAAACCTGACACATAATTCGCATCAAAGTTCAATTTTACAACGCCAAAGTTAATTTTTACAACGTCAAAGTTCATCTTGACAAAGTCAATATTTCCCTATATATATACAGCAAGGAGCACTGATGATGATTCATTCGGAATCGAAATATGGCCTTATTTGCAGCATGAATTCGAAAAATAAGTTTATTTTGAATTTTAATAAACTAAACGTTCACCAAAAAACTTTAGTGAGAAAAATCGAAAAAACGAACTACAAACATATTAACGCCAAACATTCGGTAGAATTTATAGAATATTGTAATATATATATATATATATATATATATATAAATATATATATATATATATATTTGATTATTTATTTAATATATATATTTTTGATTATTAATTTAAAACACACAATTATACACATACACCCCAATCTACCACTTAGCGGGAGGTTTTAAGAATAATAATACTCTGAAAAAATTTCTTTAGATTTAATTTGATTATTTCTGAAAATTTTCCAAATAAACACTTTACGATTATTTTTAGGTTATATGTTTTATTTATTCAACACAGCCAGGCGAGCGAGCCATTTGTCGAAAATAATTATTAGCCTTATAATAAACAGTATGTAACTGCATTTATACATAATATAATTGATCGTTTATGCAACTGTCAAATAACAACAACCAACAGTATAATAGAATTCTATTGACACGATGTAAAACATAATACTAGTAATGATTGATAGATAAGATGATAGTTGCATGCATGAATTTGATGTAGTGTGATTTTTAAAACATAGACTAGACTATATGTGATTGCCCATTGCGATTTGGGTATGGTCATTAACGTGGAAGTTGTCAAGGTCTCCGACATCCTTTCTGGGATGAGATGTCAATGAGTTCTGCTTTTGCGGATTGTTGGACAAGAACCATGATTCGAGTGCAGAAATGCAGAATATAAATTAATTGACAACTTGAGTAATTTTATTAATTCGGTCTCTTATATAATTAATATAATGAATGAATAACAAATATGATAAATAAAAATCGTTCAGTCACAAACCTCCTTCCAATCAGCGAGCACACAGCAGAATCAGATGTAACAGCGTACGTGGTGTACCTTCAGTAGACGGATGCATGGAAACTGTTAGCTACAGGATCAGATGGTTGAGACAGAAGAAGCATGATGCCAGCAAGGATGGAGATTAAGATGAATGAAGCCATCTCAATTATTGAAATCATCCTTTCTGTTTATTTGTCCTTTATTTTAACTGAAATTTTCATCTTTTTCATTTACTCAAGGGAATTTGTATAATACTTGCCGCACCATTTCATGTATCATAATACATAATTAATCTCTAATATAACTGACTAACGGAACAAGCCAAAAACAACTGTAAAGTGCTACTGCCGAATTAAAAAAAAACTACGAAGGAAAAATTTACGGGATGTTGGATTTACTTAAAAAGCGGAGGAGAAATGTTTTTGTCACTGAAAAGAATTATTCAAGAAAGAAGAATAGGTATTTTTGTTTTATCCTAGTTCCTAGTTTTGAAGTTGATCATCAATTTTTTTTTTACAATGAGCGAATTACGACTAGAAGCTTGATGGTAAATCATTGACCACCAACAAAAGCAAAAGTTTCAATTACACTATTAGCTCTGGCTGTTAGATCGATTTTAGGCAGTGCAAGATTCCATGAAAATCAATTAATGATAGCCAGCCATACTTTAAACTCAACTTAAAGAATAACTTCAATGACGGTCAGCAAGTATTTCCTACATTTTTTCTTTCAACTTTAACTCTGAAGCCGGAATTGTACTGTAGGTACTGTGCTATTAGGACTCTTCATTGGGCTTAACTTGACGTTAATGTTTTTGGGTTATAAATAAACAGGTTTCTGTCTTCACCTTGGCAGATAACTTGATTCTTGTGGTTTAAATTTTACCCGTGATCAGACTAACTGATTTACTAAACTTTGGCGGCACGCAATTACAAAATAATAAAACATTATTCAATGAATAATGAAAATATTAATTATTACGTACCTTTGAATTCAATATTTAATAAATTTTTCTAAAATTGAGGTTTATTTATTTAAATTTTTTTTAAATGTCCGCACCCTCCTTGCAATATTTGATTCAAAGGAAAGTCAGAACGTTATTTGTTACATTTGTTTATTAACAATTTTGAATGTTACATTTGTTTATTAACAATTTCGAATGTTCCGTATATTTCAACAGTTGTTTAACTAAACTTTCAAACATCTAATAGACGTTAGTTTTTTATTTCGGTTTATTTTAAGCAAAACTTTATTTGCCGGATAAGCAGATTTTGTAGTAAAAACCTGAAAAAAATTAGGCATGTAATACACTAAACTTTGCTATAAGCCCAAGTATCGGTTAAATGGTTGTTGATGGAATGGTTGTGAAAATTCAACAGTAAATAATCTCATTTTAAAAGTTGAATCATTCCGTAATTTATGCCACATTATTCAATCATTTATAAAACATCGTTGAGTGTATTTTTAAAAAGTTAATTAACGCGAAGTGGGCAAAAATATTCAATGAAATCTGCAAAACATAAAATGTATATTCAATATGCATGGATCATGACTTAACGTCTGTTTGTGTTGTGTGTGTGTGTGGTGTGTGTGTATGTTTGTGTGTAAATAAAAATTTGAATCTCAATTATATTATAAGTGGTAATAAAAACAATACGAAAGAATGCAAAATTGTACTTTTACTATTTAGTGCGATCTTCTTTGAGCCACATTACATCACTAATAGTAAATATTTATCAATGTCTTACTTCTGCAAAGAAAATCACTCGCTACAACAAAACCATTTAAATAAAACAAATTAGTGCACTTTTGACAGAACAATGAAAGCAGAGTGAGAACGCAAATATTAATGGAAATTGTGTGTGTTGCCATCGTAAACATCATCAAAACTCCACCCTTAGAAATAGAAAGTTCGTTATCGAACATGTTCTCACTCACTCACTCGCTCGCTCACTCACTCACCCACCCACTCACTCACTCACTCACTCACTCACTCACCCACCCACTCACTCACTCACTCACTCACTCATTCATTCACTCACTCACTCACTCACTCACCCACTCACTCATTCATTCACTCACTCACTCACACATACATACACACACACAAAAACACGCACACAAACAGATACACAGTTTTTGTCAATTTTTTTAACTATCTCAAAATTTCTTGCATTTTTTATTAAGTAAAATAATATTAGAAAGTATTTTGCGATATATTAACAATTAGTGATGCGATACCGAAACATCTGTTAGTCTAAATAAAAATAACCAGTCTTATAGCCCATGCGTTGTTTTGTTAGATTACTGCAGTTAAAATGAAAAATTAAATTAATAAAAAAATTTGTATTTAAAAAATTTTTTATATTTTTTTAAAATTTGCACACAATGGATTCAACATTTAATGAATCTTAAACGTGAATATATAGGTTGAAACTTCAGCCAGTGTATGTAATGAAATGTTTTGAATGAGCAATAATTAGCTTGTTATAACCCATTTGGCTGTCCACCCTTCCGTCCATCACCAACAGCTTCTATGCAGTCCACACCAACACAATTTATTTTTAACGTGTTTGCAACTGCTGAAAATTCCGTTGCTTGCATGGAGTGACCCTTGTTCTTCAGTTGGTTGACATATACCTGTCGCAAATAACATGTTTAACCTTGCAGGTGACGTTTAAATGAATAATAAACATATTAACTATTGGTCGAATTCATTTTTTCATGCAACAGCTAATTACTTCACTAAAATGATCGATACCTATTTAACGAAACACTCACAAGTTAAACAAAAACAAATTTCTAATAACGAAACAACTTCGCCACTTAATGTAATAACGTTTTTTATAATTAGATTAAGTAAGAAATACAATTTGAAACTGTGTGGGTAAGAACTAAGCCAAAAATATGTTTTTCAAAAATTTATTTCGATAAAAACTGGAACATAAAATCAATATTTTGAAAAATCGTTCAGACCTGATCAAGCCAGTCTTCGTAGATTAGCGTGTTTGGTGAAAGCTGATGATGTACTCGAGCTCGATCGACCGATCGATCCAAGGTTTCATTAGCCCAGAGACTGTTCATCACCACCTGAGCGGGTGTATGAAGTTGTAATTTATAATATGGAGTCAGCAGGCACTCGCACATTATAACAGATGCAAGTCTTACCCCTGCAACGGCTGTTATTATCCTCATTCCACCAGAAGCTCCTGAAATTAAATGGATATGTTGCTGGGAGTCCATGATAAAAGTGGGACTCATTGAGGACATTGGCATTTTACCGGGTTCAATGTAGTTAGCTGGATCGGAGTTGCTTACGGATGGGCTTACAAAGTTGTCCATCTCGTTGTTGTAAAGAATACTGGTCTGAGAACCTTTGACGGTTGAGCCAAACCTTGTGAAAAGCAACATTTAATTTTTGAAGCATTTTTCTATCACTATAACACATTAAAGATAAACAAAATAATTGTTCTAGAGACGTTTGATTTGAAATGAAGTGATGGTTGGATGGTTATAGGAAGTGTGGAAGCAGTTTTTAGGAATTTTAAATAAATCATTTCAGCGACGTGATGGCTTAATGGTTAAAGGCGCCCGGTCCTGCTTTGCAGTGAAAGAGTTCGAATTAAAAGAAGATCTTCGGCCTATTACATGCATTTGTGGGATGCGTCGTTCAGCACATATTCATAATGACCACATGTGTCTTTTTGATGTTTCTGAATTTTAGGAGTGCGTAATAAAACTTTACTCTTCCTTTGATCCCTTGATTCCTGAGCATTTAACATGTTCTACACCGGCCTGGCAGCATATAAGTCCTTGGTCAAGACTCTAAATTGTCACCTCACATTTTAAAATAATGTTTGTTGTATGATGATTTGCAACGTTAAAAATTGTTAAAAAATTAATGCAATAGATGATTTCTACCCAGTGTTAATAGTTGAAGTCATGGCAACGGCTGAGCCATCAGGTCCGTACACACTTATATGAGCTGTTCCATGGTCTACAAGTTGATTGTAAACATCACCGTAATAGGTTGCGTTGTTGAATGTTTGGCTGTCGTCAATTTTCGCTCTGATAATCTCAGCAAATTGCGTTGAGGACAATTTATTTATCAACTGTAATTTTTTAATATTTCAACTAATAAATTAAAATTTCTAATATTAAAATTTTAATTTAAACTTTCAGTCAAAAATATAATCAAACCTGTGTCACATTCACAAAATTTTCGTCGCCCAGCTTGCTTCTGCCAGCGAAAGAAAATTTGAACGCTTCAACCAGTCTGTGATAAGTCCTGGTTATGTTATTGGCGTTAAAATCTTCGGGTGCCAATTTGTATCCTGATAATTAGAAGCCAAACATTTTGTTAAAAATAAAGAATAAAAATTGGAGAACAAACGTAACTACCCGCAATGATGTTCAATATGAGTCCCAGTACAACCCCGCTGGATGGAGGTCTCAGGCTGTGGTGTGTTAAGTTGGTTCCTTGCAATTTTATGGCTGTTGGTTCCTTCCATTCAATGCTATAATTTCTCAAATCATCTTCTGTTATGATTCCTCCTGCAAAAAGTTTTATATGCATGCATCATCATTGAGATACCAGATATCACATTCAAAAGATCCTCTGATGCAATTACTTAACACAGTGACGTTGTGATAATTTTAGTACTTTAGTAGGAATCTCACTACTTTTCAGTATTATCTGCGACAGTTAACAACTTCTCCAAACTTTCATTGAAAATTATTTCTCACGATAATTTTTGTATTACTCATTTGCGCTATTTCCTGCTTTCAAAACTCTGTTTTTAGCGTTGTATATTTTTTCTGTTGTAGTGCCGTTTCAGTTTAAGTGAGTACAGACGTCATGTTGAGGAATAATTGTTAAATAATGAATGAACATGTTAACATTAATCAATTCATTCTCACCTTCACTTTGTATTTCTTTGACAATTTCTTTCGCTAGAGCTCCTTCGTAAAAACCCATGGGATCAGCTGATATGTTTCGCAAAGTTTTCACTAATTTCTTGTCGATAAGAGGATCACCCAGTTCTAACATCGATCCATTATTCTTTGTGTAGACTGCCCTAAAGTGAAAAAATATAAATTTTAGTAAAATTTTAAACGAATGTTTCTAATAATTTATCACATTACTTCAAACTGGAACTGTTAAGAAATTGGCTTCTGTAATCTTTCGAAAAAGCTTTAGCAAGAGCTTTTTCAACTTTAATGGATTCATTTTCTAGAAGTTTTATTGTTGGCTCTAACAGTTCACTCCATTGTAATCTTCCAAATCTATGTTAAGTCGCAAATTTGTGAAATAAATCAAATCAGTTTACCTTGAACCTTAATTGTTTTATTTAAAGTGATCAAGTTTTATTTCGTTTATCTTGAAGAACATTGTTTTCCATTGCATCAAACCTTTCCCAAGCAGAATAGAATCCCATGATTTCACCAGGAACTGCTATTGCTAGTCCTCCTGTTAAAATAATGATTCAAAATTTTTGATATCTAACATTCATGATATCAAACAGTGACATAACACTAATGATATCTAATAAGATCAACATTCATGATACCCGATAATGATTCAACAACCATGTCGTTCAATACAGATTGAACTGATGTAACACTAAATCACCATTTTGAACAAAACACTCACCGATCAGTGAGGAAGCATTTTGGAACATGTTGGTTGTGGCTTGGATTGGAGCTCGCTCCCTTGCTACTAAAGTCGTTAAAACTTTTTTACTCTCGTTCCTAGGACTGATCAAAACAACAGAATGCAATATGTTTTATGTATTTATCGAACACTTTTGAAATAATCGTTACCTACCACAATTCATAAATAATATGTTTTCCAAACTTTACAAAAATTCAATTAAATGTGAGATGAAAGTTTATTTTATATTAAAAATTAAAATGTAGCTCAATACAAACGTGTCATAAATGATAGCCAGATGACCACCCCCGATGCCACAGTTGTGCAGACTGACAACACCGACGCAGATCATTGTTGCTATCGAAACTTCAACCGCTGATCCATTTTTCTCAAATATGGACCTGAAGTTGAAATAAATAGTTTCTGATATTTGTTGATGTCGTGAAATGTTGAACGTTGTTATGGGTTGTGTTACTGAGTTGGAGATCAAACGTAAACCTTTAAAATATTTTACCCTACCATTTTAATATGTAACATAATTAACTAGTTTATTGATATTAGTTTTTTTAAGTTTTGCAAGCTGAAGACATTGTAATTTGTAAAATAATTGTAAGATAAAAACATCCTGCACAATATTAAATCACTCGTCCCTCCAAATTTGTATTATTATTATTATTAATAATTACAATAGGCTAAAACTCGATTAAAAACTTAAAACTTAGTAACTAAACGGACTAAACGGTTACCAACTTACTTTCCAATCTGTGAACAAACTGCTGATTCAGATGTAACAGCATAAGAGGTGAACTTTTTGTAGACAGATTGTTGGAAGCTATTGGTTACATTGGTTACATTGGTTACATTGGTTACATTGGTTACATTGGTTACATTGGTTACATTGAATACATTGATTACAGGGTCAGATGGTTGTGAGAGAACAACAGCAAGTGCGATAAATCCTGACACTGTGATGGCTGAAGATACCAGAGATACTATGACTGTTGGTCTTGTTGTACTGTCCATCTATGCAGATTAAAATTATTTAATAGTGTCGTTATTTAATAACAATGGCAAAAAATGAACAAACATTGCATAACACATGAAATACTTCGCAATTTGGAATAATGCCACTTCTTCAAAGTGTTGCCTGCCTACGTTTGAAACCAAACTTCCATCAATTTTTTTTACAATTTCCTGAAGCAAAGCGAAGTTCAAAGTTAGTGGCTATTAAAGGGCAAAGTAAAATGTGGCACTCGTGTATGATGCGGTACCTTAAAACGCGGTATCTAACACCTTACAATGCGGTAGGCTACCTTACACCCATTAAGTGCTAGTGAAGATTGAGTCGACAGCAACGTTTAAAATGTTGCAAATTGAAATTCCCAGTAAAATGCTGCAACAGAAAATTTATTAAACATTTAAATAACCCAAAAATAAAAATAAAACCCAAGATAATTCAACGTATTAGGAACTTTTACCCACTTCTGACGGCAGAAGAAATGTTGTGCAATTTTGCGTTGCTTTGCTTGTTTATTAAACTAATTTCGCATAACTCTAATGAATGGGCCAGGGCGGTTATAACAATGCGTACTGCAAGTTGCAACTTGCAACAAAGAATAAGCTCAGCAGGACAAAGAAACTTATGCTCGTGATCAAATACAAAGAAGCTATCGTTCTTTTCATTTCTGAGGTATTTAATTATACGAGACGTTAATGCACCTATAATGTTGTATAATGTTGGGGTTTAGGCTGAATATTTCATGTGAAATTGATCAAGATTAATTTTGCTTGTTGAGTTGATAAAATAATCCTTCAACCAATTTTTTCATGTTTAATGTGTACTTTATAGAGGAAAACAAACAATCATGCTTGTTCAGGCAAATGAAATGTATTTGTATAAAGTTGAAAGTTTAGAAAAAATTAAACATTTTGTAACCTTTACACGGGAGAAAGCATTTTTATGAATTTATAAGCATTGTGCTGCGATACATTGTAAATTATCAAAAGCTTTGAAGTTCTAAAAATATATTTATACAAACCGTGGTGTCATAAGCGAACAGTATAAACTTTAAACTAGAAGAAGAATTTATAATATCATTTATAAAAACATTGAGGGATTGAGTCTTGGGGGATGCCATTGCGTAGATGTAGCGAATCTAAAGAGACGTCAAATTGAACGCACTGATGACCAAACTTTTGAACCAATTTGGAGCTTGATGGCGAATCCCATAATCTTCAAGTTTATATGATTAAAATAGAGTGAATGAGGCTTTTGAGGGATAAATAAACATTTCTATAGTGGTGAGTTTAAATTCAATTATTTCAGATACAGGATGAACCAAGTCAAGAGCAGCAAGGTCAGATAAAATATTATGTTCATACAAGAATTTGCTTAGTCTGATATAAAAATTTGTATCCTTTAATTTAGATAAATTTGCAATTAGAGAAGTAGGTCTGTAATTGACGATATCCATTCGACATCCTTGTTAAAATAGTAGAATCACTTTAATTTTTTTAAGACAGAAGAAAAATTAATAGATTTTAAAAAAGATCTATAAGAAAAGTAAGTGGAGTGAAAATACTAAGAAAGATTTTTTGAAAATAAAGTAAAATAAATTATCGTACCCAGTGGAGTAAGAGTTTTTGAGATTGCTTACAATGTTAAATAATTCAGCATCATTAACATCAGCAAAGATCAAGGATGCAGAATTTCGGTCAAAGAAATATTTGAAGTTACCAATTATGTCAGAATTATAGAATGATCCAAATAAGGTAGTGGTTTCAGTAGATTGACAATACTTTCTTAATCGGAAATGAGATTTGAGTTTTCTAGTTTTCTCTCTAGTTTACAGCAGAAGTTTGTAAAAATAACCATTAAGCCTACTCAGATTTTTTCATCAGTAACAGCAGTTTATTTCAAACTAGATTTCGTGCCTGGGAAGCAAAAGCCTGGGAAGCAAAAGTCTGGGATTTATTGTAGATCATGTTTTAGAAATTCTATCAAGCTTTTTTCACTATATCGTTATTATGATACTTTTTCATTTTAAGGTTAGTGCATTTATATTGGACAAAACATTAAATATTGTTGTATTAAAATAAACGCGTTTGAACGCTAACCAAATTTTATCGCTGAAACAAACTACAAAAATTTCGAAATGAATACAATGATATTGCAACCTATTGTTGTCTGATACAAAAAATTTCTAAAAGTTATTTAAACTGTAAAAATATAAAAATTATCGTAGAATGATTATATTAATTACATGCAAATTGAAATAAAATTGTATGAAAGAGCAGTGCCAGAAAAATGTTGGATGTCTGAAGGAAGGGTTCACAGTCCTTCGGGCTGACCTCCTTTCCTTCCATCACTGACGGCTTCGATCAAAAGTTTTCTTTCATTGGCATCATTTTTCACTTTTATTGTTCCACAGACTGCAGTTTTTATTACGGGATTCATAATGTGACCTCTCATTTTTAAATCATCTACGTGCTTCTGGAAAAAATTTAAGATGCACACTTTAAACAGTAAAACACGATTGTACTATTTGCGATAAAATGAACCCTACCTCCTCCATCCAATTCTCGTATAGGACTTGGTTAGGAAACAGCTGGTGGTGAATTCTCGGTCTGTCCACTGTAACATCTAGCGTTTCATTGCCAAAGATGCTGCCTAGGATGACCTTTGTAGTGTACATGATGAGATGAGATAATTTCCTAACTGATTTAAGTCATATACTCTTATCAGGCACATGCTTTAACAAATAAAATAATCGATATTATAGATATAATAAAAAAAAGCAACAATTTGATGTTGAATTATTACAGCTGCTATCGAAGTGATGATCCTTGGTCCACCAGATGCTCCTGTTATGAGTCCCACATTGAAATGTTTGTCCATGATTAGGCTGGGACTCATCGATGACATCGGAATTTTGTATGGTTTGATCTGGTTACTAAGGTTCAAATTGGATGCAAATGCCTCCTCATCAATTCCTGTGAAGAGGTTCATCTCGTTGTTGTATAAAATGCCTGTCTGTCGCCCTCTCACGCCTGATCCAAAACTTAGCGTTCGTCAAATAAATAAATTATGTGCTGCTCGGCAGATATTATCTATAGAACATTTTTATTACATAACAGTTTATTCGTTAGAACAAATTACTTTTCATAGAAGTAATGGAAAACAAGTTCATTTAGTGTGGTGAAAAGAAGATTTTGATGTAAGTCATTATCAAAATATGAAGAAATAATGTAAACCGACGCATTGTTAATAGTGGAAGTGAGGGAAACGGCCGATCCATCAGCGGCATAAACGCTGACGTGAGCCGTTCCGCCATCGCGTGCCTCCTCGTAAATATTGCCGTAGTGAGATGTGTCCGTGAACGTTCTTGAGTCATCTATCTTGGAACGAATCTCTTCTGCAAACCCCTTCGATGCCAGCTTTTTAGACAGCTTGGTTGATAATTAAGAATAAGTAATCGTTTTCACACGACGATAACAACAAATTGTTTACTTTATGAAATTACTTTACTCTGTTTAACGTTAAAATATTTGGCAAAATTGGAATACGATGCAGAATTAAAAAAAATTAAACTTAAAGTAAAGACTCAACGATTTACGCCTGAAAAGTTGTCAAATTTTTCGTCCCCGAGCTTACTTCTACCAGCAAATGCGAATTTGGAGACCTCAATGAGTCTGTGTAGTGTCAAAGATAAGTTGTTTTCTGAGAAGGAATCGGGAGTTAATTTGTAACCTGGATATGTGTTGAAAGATATTATGTAGTCTAGTTTCATAATTAAATGTTTGTAAAAATAAACCAAACTTTAAAAAATTAATTTGCTTGCATTAAATTTTAACACGACAAGACAGTTGCCTATACGTATTTTCAATCATCATCTTTAAATTACGTTAAATCGCTAAAAAATTTGGCATATGATGTAACAACTTTTCAAAATTATATTTCACGGAAACAAATCTCAAATCCAACTATTATTTTTTTTGTCTCACCAGCCATAACGTTAAGTATGAAGCCAAGTACAGCTCCACTGGAAGGGGGGCTAACACTGTAATGTTGTAGCTTGGTGCCTTGCAGCTTCACCACTGTAGCATTTTTCCATTCCACGTCGTAACGTCTCAGGTCGTCTTCACTTAATATTCCCCCTGGTTTTAAATGTTAGTTAATTAAACCAAGATTTATTTTTCAACATAAAAAGTTGCATTTTGTTTTAATCAGTATCTGATGATTTATGAAATAATTTGTTTCGTTATTTGGAAGTTTTTGACGAAAATATAAAGCACATCGTTTTTAAATATCACCAGCGCTTCTCAACCTTCAAGGAATACATACAACGCACAGCACATGTACACATGTATTGTGCATTGTTTGTTTTACACATCGTCTGCTTACATACGTACATTGTTGACATACTTTTTTTAAATGAAGAAACCCTATAATGCACAGCTGCACCAGACATGCTAACCTGATGTAATTATAGATACATCATCATCATCACCAACAATTTATTTTTTCAATAAAAGTAATCGGAATACTTTTGCGTCAAGTTAAATAGCAACATGTGGGTGAACAATCAAAAAACTTTTGGTTACAACGTTCACCTTCCTCCTGGATTTCTTGCGCCATTGTCTTCGCCAGAGCTCCTTCGTAAAATCCTCTTGGATTCAATGAAATGTATCTCAAAGTTTTTGCAAGCACCGGATCTCTGTACGTGTCTCCTTCTTTCAATATTGTACCATCACTTTTTATCAATTTCTCTCTGTTATTTATGTTTAAAACACTTTTCAACACACAATGAAATAAATCTTCATTATTATTAAAGCGTGTCATTTTCATGAGCTGATTGTTTGATCATAACGTTTTTATATTTGTTATTACAAGCATTAACAATAGATTTATACGAGAAATATACTGTAAATTTTAAACAAACTGAGATATACAGTAACTAATACACATCTGCACTCACCTGATTCCTGGATATTTATTGATGAAATCTCTGTACTCAATGATAACCTGTCCTAAATCTCTTTCAACGATGAATCCATTCTCCAACAAAGCTACCGTTGGATCGATTAATTCGTTCCAAGCTAACCTACCAAATCTAATGATAAAACACACTATAGTTTTTAAGAAACCCAATTAAACGACACTACATCCAACAGTTAGCATAGTGCATATGGTTCTCAACGAATTGCAGCTTGTCCAAAATTCTGAATTATTCAACAAAATTATAGCAATTATAAAAACTAAACCAGCAATTTTTAAAACTAAACCATGATCTCATTTATAAATTTTTCATTATTTTCAAAACGTCATTGGCAGCTGAGTCGTTTAATGACTTTATAATAACGACATTTTCTTTTCATTATTCCAATTTTTCGAAATTGTTTTGCGTGAATAACGACACGAGAAATCCCATATCATTAAGAAATCATGACCGATGACCAGAACAACTATTGATATTTTGCGCATATATGACTGAGTTAAACTATTTTTTAACAAAATTGAATGCAAATATTCAAATGTATATTATCTCACCTCTGCCAAGCCGAAAAGAACCCTTTTATTTCTCCAGGAACTGCCGCCGACAAGATTCCTGAAAATAAAAAAAAGGTTCGTACGAAATTAAAGATATAAATTGAATCCAAGGCAAATCAAGCAACCTCTCTTGAAGAAATGT